CGTCTTTTTTTCCAACCCAACCTCACCAAATCCTTCATAACCTTCACCTTAACTTACAATACAACCTATCCTCTCGCTTCCTAACCTTTTCTTCCATATCAAATCTTCATCCTCTCTACTCACCCCATGTCAAGAGTATGTATGTCATACCACCATTCATCAATACACAAGTCATGGTTTACATCATAGTTATATTAAAACATTCAAATACAAAAATTAATCACATAAATCATACTTTCACATTTTCTCATAAAAAAAATAACATGCTTGGCACAAATACAAGAAAACCATCATATTCTCAACTCAAGTAATTAGATCAAAACTATCTCATGCTTAACATCACAATAAAAAATTTACAACTAAGCATGTTTCACAATATCAAGATATTCATATAAGAAAATACATAGGTCTTACTAAAATAATATGAAATTTGTAATTTAGGCTTCCTCTACCTCAAGATGATTAGCCAAACAAGGCCTTAGTAAGCCCTAGCTTTGAAATCCTCCAAACCCTAGCAATATGGGTGCCAAATGGAAGCTCTCCTTAAACTCATCAACTTCCTCTCTGTGGCATCACCAAAAACACCTTCTAATCTCCCCAAATCCAAGGTTGAAATACATGTGAGATATATTAGGTATAGATATGGAATATAGAGAGAGGAAAATGAAGACAAAGAGGAGGAAAAGGTGATTCCCGAAATGGAAGGGGAGGGGGAAAAAAAAAAGTTGCCTTGCATCTTCCATAGCCAAGGTTATACCAAGTGTCACAATTTGAGTGATTTCTAAATCAAGCTAAGTTACTATAATGCCCTTCCTCTTTCAATGAAATACCATTCTTACGTTACAAATATCTACCTCCAATATATAAATATAGATGTATACATATATGTGAGAAAAGTCCATTATGCCCTTTCTTAAAATGACAAAACCGGAAGAAGTTCCCGTGTTTGGAAAGCGTCCCGACTTCTGAAAAATTCAAAAAATGAAACTGTTACTTCTAATTGACTTAAAATGATTAAAAATATACTTCTAAAACCCTCAACTCAAGAAAATGACCAAAGCGCCCCTCGGGGCCTGTGTGGCACGTAAAACGACGTAAGGATTAAAATAATCCAAATAAAATCCAGAAATTATAAAATAAAAAAAAAATGATTGGTAACATTACAAGCTCGATGAGATTGGAGCATTTCCATTCATGCACTTACTAGCATAATTTTGTTTTAATTTGGTTTATTATGTCAAAACTTGTAGCCTCTAATTGGGATATGTAATAAGTGCTTAAATGCACTCTTTGAGACCTATTTGATATGAATGTGATGATGCCAAGGGCCAATGACCTTATCCTTTATTTTCATGCTATTTGACATTATGCTTAAATATGAGAAATATTGAAAAATGCGAATCTTTAGCATGTTAATTTCAATGTGAATGGTGGGAATTGCATTTTATCACTTCCCCGAGTGCTCTTTTATTATTTGTGACGTGCAGCCAAGGGCCAATTGATTATTTGGATGCATCTTTGGTGATTGACTTCGTAATTTGTTTTAAAAGGGCATTTTCCATGATTTTTGGGTTTGGACATGTCATATTTGGCATTGGGCATATTTGGGGGTCATAGATCATTCCCGCATGTTTTAAATCATTTATTACATTTGCGTGCACAATCGTTTTAGCACATAACTTCATATTTGACCATTTGAGCACATGAAGCAAGTTGTATTTTTAGTTTTTGTCAAAACTGAGCATAAGGGCATTTTGGGGTTTTCATGTCAATAACAAATCTTCCTTTCATCCTGGTTAGCTAGAAAACGTAATTTCAAGGGGGGTTTCTTCTTCGTGTTTTTCCAAAAAAAAGTTCATTTAAGCTTCAAAAATTGCATTTTCCAGTAGCTTCAGTCTTGTTTGGGTCACAATCGGTCGACCGGTTCCCTATTTCAGTGACCGAAGCACATGGCTTCATTTCGGCAGCACCTTCCTTCCATTTTGGTCTACTGATGTGACCATTTCGGCCGACCTAAATGCCCTAGGTTCATTGCTCTCTTCTTTTGGGCCAATCTTGTTACCCGAACTTTAAACAGTCATATATTCTTCATTTCTAACTCAAATGGGGTCATTCTTGAGCCTAAATTCAATAATTTTAAGTTAGATTTCCAATGGAACCAATGCCATTTTCTGAATCAAATCACAGTGAGAGTTATGCATATTTTTGTGGGGCAGTGTTTGATTTTACTTGAACTGGGAATGGCTGTTTTGTGAGATTTTTGGCCAAAGTTCTTGGAACCTCCTGGAATGTTATGAAATGACTAGATTAGGTTGTATGGACCTCATTTGACTTGTTTGGAGTCAAAATTTCCCTTTTTATTTGTAATTTGACCATTTTGCCCTTTGGGGGCATACTTAGTCCATTTTCAGTCTTTTACTTTCGCTTTTGTTTTCGTTGTATTATGTGACTTCATGAAAAGTCACTTGGGTTTCCTAGGGATGTTGTTTATTCCTAAGGACTTTGTCTTCTGCTTTCACTTCCGCATTCTAGATCCATTATCGGATCAACTTTCGGGTCACATTAGCGCATCCGGGTTTGTGAAAAATTCGGAACATCACAGAAAAGGAGGAGCTTGAAGTTTTTTTTTTATTTTTATTTATTGTATTGGGTGTGGGGGTGGTGGTGGTTTTTGAGTGCGACGACTATGGTGGTGGTAGCGATGTGGCGGCCGGGGAGCCTCTTAGAAAATGGCATAATAGGAATAAAAGGGTAAATTAGGGTTTTAAAATTTATTTTATGTCAATTTTGACCAAAAAGTGGTCCGATGGACTTATTTGTACCCTTTTTGAATATTATGGACTGAATATTTTCTAAAAGGATGGACTATTTGTGCACAAAACCTATATTACAGGAAGGTTTTCTACACTTAGCCATTAATTAAAAGAACGCTTAGCGCCTTGATACTATGAAAAGTTTTGAATTTTCTCTTGTGCATTGTTTCATTAATAACAAGACAATATAAGAACTAAATATGAATTGCGCTATGCAGAATCATTGTGGAATTCAATTTTAAAATCATCTAAAGGAGGTGAATAGGTAAAACTTGCTCTTTTATTTGATTTTTTATTTTACCCACAACTAACAATTGAATCAAAAATATGTAGCAAGTAAATAACTTAGAGTTAAAGAACCAGGATTTTAGTGTAAAAACCCAATAGGGAGAAAATCAACCCAATCTAGGAGAGAAATCACGAAGACTACAAGCAAAAAAATCCACTATCACCTTGATTTTGTAACACCTTGTCCAAACGCTCAATTTTAGGCTTATTCCTTAATCTTGGTAGAATATGGATTGTTGGAAGAACACAAACACTCCTCGAATGATGTGTTCCCTTCATAATGTGATTAAATCCTTCTTTCAATGATTTGTGCCTTTGAAAGTTTGCAATTCTGGATCAAACTTTATAAACTGTGCGACCAGTGAGAAAAACTTAGACAAAAACTTTAGGGTGAATTCCACCTACACCCCCTGAACTATGTTAATACTCCACACACACCCCCTCTACGTTTCATAATTTCACTTACCTCCAATGAGGTTTTGGTTTATGCAGCAAATTACCTCCTGCCGTTAAGTAACTGATGATGTCGGCATGAACAATTCTGTACAAGGTCAATTTTGCCCTTCCAATACTTAAAATGACATTTTTAACCTCATTAACCAATGCAAATTTACAAAATTACCTTTAACTTATAAACTCAAAAAGTTTAATCCACGGTCATATTACTGAACCCAGAACACCATTCACCGATTGCTTCAACTTTGTAAGTCACCGGAATTAAGCCCACAGTATTAATCCACGCACCAAAAGATGGTGACCAAACAAGTCGTTGCTCGCCGGACTGAAAAGGGAGGGAATCTTTAGTTCAGTCCAAACGCCGTCGAATCTACAGCTGTGTAGTCACCGTTGAATCTACCGTATGATCTAAAATCCCCTTCTCTGCTGAAAATCTTCTCTGTATCTTTCTAAACTGAAATCCCCTTTCTTGTTGTAGAACCCTCCCTCTCTCAACTGGAAATCTCTCTAGTTGGAATTTTGTTTTTGGAAATAACAATTTTTTTTTGGAAATAACAATCTTCTCTGTATTTTTTTTTTTTTTGGAATTTTGTTTTTGGAAATCTCTCTCTAATTTTTTTTTTTTTTTTTCTTAATTTGATTTGGAAACAAAAAGGAAAAATAACAATGAATGGAATCGGGTTTCCGGCGAGATTAGGTGAGTTCCAGGGGAGGAATTGTCGGCGGTGAGCTGATCGCTTATGAACCTTAAAATCGACGGAGATGGAGTTTTCCAGCAAGGTTATGACTCAAATTGTTGAATGGTGATGACAATCACGCGCCGCCATCGGGTCCGATCTTCTTGTTGTCGATACAACCTCCTCACATGATTCAGATTTTGGGTTGAAGACTTAAATACCTCCTTCGACTTCATCAATCTTCATTCTGTTCTCCCAAACAGACCCTGCAACTACACCGTTTTTTTTTCGCAATTGGATCTTGGGTCTGCTAGTGGTGTTGTTTGCAAAGAGTGATTATGAATGGTGGTTGGTGGTCGGCCGTGGTGGTGGTAGGTGGAGGTGGAGAAATGGCGAGATCGGTTGTTGTGTATTCCATCGGTGGCATAGTTTCTTTGTCACCGACAATAATGAAGAAGAAAGAAAGAAAAAAAAAAAAAGAATATATATATATATATATATATATATATAGTGTGCATATATATATGTGTGTGTGAGAGTAGAGAGAAATTTAATGGTGTTTAGAGGGTGTAAATTCCTTTTCCTTTTTAGTTATAAATTTTAATATATAATTAAAGGGTAAAATAGTAAAATTACATATTCCCATTGGTAAATTAGACCGCGGTTAATGATGTTGTCATCGAACGAAATATGCTGTTGATTCAGGCTTCGAATCCCAAGATAAATAAAAAATACAACAATCAAACAAGTTTTGACATCAAAATCAGATCCAAAGTAAAAGTGATTCAAACACCAAGTGACATATATACAGAACAAAAATTCAAACATGGATGTCACAAAAATATAGAAATAGATCTGGAGGCCCAGAGTCAGAAACTAATAATATCTAGCTAAACAACATATCTAGGTGTTTAATTAACGCATTTCAATATAATTTTGCGCATGACTTGAGATTGGAACCCTGTCAGGATCTCTTGAACTAGCATTATTCAAGAATCGCGAGAATGGAAGTATCTTTCTCCAAACACTTACACGAGTTGGCGTGACGTTGTCTTCTTGTAATGCTTGATGGTGGTGGAGTGAGTGAATGATGAATAGTAGCAAACAGATGGTGGAAGTGGCGATATAGAAGATGTATAGACCCCAGAAGTGCCGGAGGCTCAAGCGACCACTATTTTTGGCAGTTTGGAAGTTTAAACAATCTGGTGATGGAGCGAAGTACTCATCTTCCAATCGTTTCAGAGTGCCATCCTCCAATAATCTGAGAATGCCTGCAGAGACATTGGTAGCTATGGGAGAACCTTTCTGGAAGACCTGCACTTAAAAACATGAGGGTTGTAATACTCGATCAGTTTGCTTAATTAATACAAACATATTTGTTTATCATTTTCATTTGGGTTAATTAGTATGTGATTACTACTTACTGATTTTAGTGATGAAATTAAGATGGTGCATATTCAAGAACCTAAAAGGATTCAAAGATGGTGTTTGCTTTAGTATTGACTATTAACCATCCACAAAATTAAATTCAAGTTGAGTTCAATCCACCACTCACAAAGGCAAATCCTCCGAATCTATATGTTGGTCCTGTGACGGTAAGTTGATCACAGTACCGCTTAACAAGAAGTTTTGCATAAGGGACTTCAAGAAATGCCGCTGAGATACTGCCATTCTTCAAAGCGTCCAGGTACTGAGATAGGGTATCAATGTCATTTCTGATGTTCTCCTTTTTGAAATGAAGTACATTCACCAAGTACTCTCTTACAAGGTCGCTGCCAAAGCAGCCAACTACGGCATTGCTCTTCTTGAGCGAGTCAACATTTGGATCGAGTCTTGAGATGGTAAGCATTGAAGATAGGTTGGCAGTGTAGGTTTGTGTTACGATCAACACCACAAAAAGCCACGCCACCACCACCACTCGAGTAAAGTTACGCTGAATCCTTTCCCCTGCAAAATTTATTGACGGTCTATATGAGAACAAAGGCAAATATCGTTTTCTAACCTCTCCACGTGACCAGAATTAAGATGAAGAATCCTTTGTACGTTCAATGTACAGTCTCCTTGCTCATTATTCTTGTATATATATATAAATCATTGATGTAATATTATAAGGAGATAATTATCGCAATTGTAACCCACCTGTGAATAAAAATTACTGAGCAGACAGCTTAATCGTGACTCTTGCAAGATTTTAAACAACCAACTCTGTTTAATTATAACTCTATCTCTCTGTCTTTCCATATTTATAAACAAATCAAAAGCATGTTTTGTTTTGGTTTGAATAAGCAACTGTTTATTTTTTTATTATTATTATTATTTTTAATAATGAATAAGAACATTTTTTTTGGGGGGTAATTATGACCAAAGAGCTATTTGATAACTCAATTCAGCTTCAATTAAGCGTTGACATTTGATAATATAATTTGAATGTCACTAAAATTGTTAAACGATATTTAAATTGGAATAAAATTTTAAGTGATAAGGACACCACCTATTGAAAATTCAAAAAGATATTAAAAAATATTATCCATGTAGCATGGACATGGGACACTGATGCTTTGACACGTCAAATTTTTAAAAAGTAAGATATGGGTATAACTTGGACATGGTTATATATAAATAAAAAAATTTATTTATATGCATGTATTGAGTATTAGTACTATATAAAAAAAAAAAAAGAGTAGGATATTGTGATCATATATCTATATAATGTCAAATTTTTTTAAAGAAAAGTGTTGAACACTTTATAATGTGTTCATATTATTTGTGTTCGTTTAAGTGTCGGGGAGTGTCGAGAAATTGTCCAAAATAATAATAATAATTTTTTTTTTTTTAACAGACACTTATATGAAGTGTCGGACACGTGTTCGATGAGTGTCGGTGTTCGACACAGACACGACACGAGTACTGCTCAATATCCGTACTTTATAACATATTACAATTGAAAATTAATAGTAAGTAAGTTGAACTTCTTTGATATATTTTTTTTATATATTGCTTACAGACTCAAAATGTAAACAACCGAACTTATTCCTAGTATTTAGTAAGGGCGAATTGCAAAAAAACCCTCAACTTTCACTTCGTTTACAAAAAATCTCCTATAAATATCTTTAGGAATCCCCCCCCCCCCCCCCCCCCCCAAAAACTATCATGAGGGGGTCATTTTAACTAACATTCGTTAGGGTGATTGAGTGAGAAAAAATTTTGGACAAAATTACCCTTAACCTGTAACATCCGTTTGAGTGATATCCATTAGTATTACTAAAGTACCCACCACTCACTTCTCTCTCTTTTTTATTCTTTTTTTTAACTGCATAAAACACTAAAACAAGGCCTCTAATTTTTTCTTTCGAAATGTACTTGCATTTGGAATATATATAGTAATATATATGATAGTTATTTATCAAATGTCATCTTTCGAAAGTTGAACTTCTTTGATATATTTTTTTTATATATTGCTTACAGACTCAAAATGTAAACAACCGAACTTATTCCTAGTATTTAGTAAGGGCGAATTGCAAAAAAACCCTCAACTTTCACTTCGTTTACAAAAAATCTCCTATAAATATCTTTAGGAATTACAAACCCCCCCCCCCCCCCCCCCCCCCAAAAACTATCATGAGGGGGTCATTTTAACTAACATTCGTTAGGGTGATTGAGTGAGAAAAAATTTTGGACAAAATTACCCTTAACCTGTAACATCCGTTTGAGTGATATCCATTAGTATTACTAAAGTACCCACCACTCACTTCTCTCTCTTTTTTATTCTTTTTTTTAACTGCATAAAACACTAAAACAAGGCCTCTAATTTTTTCTTTCGAAATGTACTTGCATTTGGAATATATATAGTAATATATATGATAGTTATTTATCAAATGTCATCTTTCGAAATGTACTTGCATTTGGAATATATATAGTAATATATATGATAGTTATTTATCAAATGTCATCTTAAATTGATTTTGGTGAAAAAAAAAAAACAAAAACAAAAAAAAAACTTGTACCTTGATTTTTTATAAAATAAGATAAAGATAGAGATATATGCAAGAGATTCAAAAATATCAGTACCATGATAGAAAGAAATCGAGATGTTAGTCAGAAAATTTTATCACACAATCACTCTACCAGATGTTAGTTAAAATGACCCCTCATGATAATTAAGGGGGATTAATTGCTAAAGATATTCATAATGGGATTTTTTTATAAATGAGTGAAAGTTGAGGGGTTTTTTTTGCAATTCGCCCATTATTATATTATACCACCAAAGATGTAGAATAGTGATACTTTATGGCGTTCCAAAATATATATATATATATATATATATATATATATATATATATGTATATGTATATATGCTAAGGTGCGTGGCTTTTTATTTTTATATTATAAAATAAAGTCACTCATCAAACCATATTATGATTTGTATTATGAAGACATGATTTTCCTTACTGAAACTATGGGTAAAACAATTTACAAACGTATGATATACATTCAATAAAATGTTTTGGTTCAAAACATATATATAGGCCGAGTAATACTTACTGTGAGCAAAGAAAAGTGAAGAGAAGGTGAACCACAGAATATTGCCAAGCTGGTCCTTCCATGGGCCACGAAATTCAGGATTGGAGCGATGCTCCAATAACCAAACAATGAACATTGTGTACAACAAAATGGCACAAGTCGTTACCCACAATTCCATAGTGAAAGGGGTCAAAAACATCCATGCATTGGGAGCTTGGGGCTTCACTGGAACTACCAGGGACATACCTGCCTCAGTGAATGGTATACTAAAGTCCACGATCTTCCACCGGTCAGCACGCATTGTTATATCACCAACGACAGCGTCAAAAGTCTTCCATCAATTTTTATTCCCCAGTTAGCTATTTGTTAGAAATAAATAATTGAAAATAAGGCTCAATAAAGACTTCATAAACAAGAAGTTGGAGATGGGTTTATTACCTTTTTAGCAACAAAATTAACCATATCGTCGTAGCTGCAGTTGACATCCACAAACTTGTGGTGTAGATAAAAAGTGGGACTCAAAGTCCTCACCACCTCCTCAAATACATCGATGCAAAAACCACTATATATCTTCTCCTCTGGTTTCTTGGTGGATTGTTCTACCTTTACAAACTGGTTAGCATAGATCCACCCTGGAACTGCTATTCTCATTGGTTTTTCAACAGTAGGCATTGCCCATCCTTCATCAGCTTTAACATCTCTGTTTGCACTCATATTGTTGGTTGCTATTTTGTTATTAGTAGCTTCTGTGATGGACATAACTCCCGAGACGGTGAGAACGAGAATAAATGAAGCATGGAATAACAAAGAAAGAGGTACCCTAGTTGTATTGAGGGTAATGAATTTGAAACACCAAGACATCTTTTTCTATAGCAACAATTTCATATCCTTCAGTCTAGAGCTCTCAATGTGAAGGAGGTTAATTCCACCCTTGGTCTTAGACCATCTCTTTTTATAGGGCAAGTGATGAGAGTGGGTGATGTCATCTATCGATGTGAGTCCATTAACACAATAAGTACCTCCTCGGATTCCAGATAATCCCGAGTCTTCCTCCCAACTTGGGTCTTCAACTTTGAGTTTTCAAGTCTTCGATCTTATGTTCGAAGCATGTTGATGACATGGTATATTTGACTGTTAATCACAAAATATGGGCCATTATTGCTGATGTGGCATAACCCGGTGACTGTTTGGCCAAGCCATTATTGATGATGTGGCATTTGCCATGTGAACTCGGGTAAACGACTCTCGGCCCACATGCAACTTCCATTCCATGGTATGAAATGCTTTCGACATAAGAACATTTACACTACCTAATAGACATAAGAAAATCCTTCTAATAGAGTTGAGAATATTTTTTGTATTGAGATTGTATGGGCATTCTTGTCCCTTTAAATATGGTACAAACAACGGTGGAAGAAGTTTTTATAGGAGAACTATATTTGAGTTAAATTGCAAGGGGTTAGTCTAGTTGAAAAGATTTGGGTCCTAGTGTCTCATAAAGTATTAAGTCTGATGATCGATTCTTCTTAAATGTAAACAATTCTTTAAGATTCACGTGCGTAAACATAGTCCTAACTTTACTTGATCTATATTGGAGACATCTTACTTACACGAATTTTGTGAATTAGTCTGGGTAAAATTCCGGACCCCGGATTATCCAAAGAATACTTTTGTTTATTGTTGTTTGCATGAGTCTACAAAATATCTACCAATATATCATCCAACTGCATTGTTGACGCTAAAATCGGCTAGCTAAAGCCGATTCTAAATTTGATATGTGCGGGCATGCCAGAACCAACAATGTGATTCTAGTGTGTTTAGTCAACGGTAGTCTATTTGAAAATATTGACTTTCAGGCGATTATAGGAGAAAGAGAACAAGTAAACTCCTTCGTGAGTTCAAATTGCCTTAGTTAAAAGGACTTTAGTAAGGTGATTAAAATAGTAACAGTCTTAGTTAAAAGGACTTTAGTAAGGTGATTAAAATAGTAACACTTGAGAGAATAAAAAGGGGAGAAGATATAGACATAGAAGGAGATGGAGAAAAAGAGATTGAGAGAAAGAGAGATAGAAAGAAATCGAGAGAGAAGTAGACAGAAATAGCAAGATTGCTATATGGGGGAAGAGCTTAAAAAAGCAATAACATTAATAAAAATATTCTGAGGTGCTAGACCAGCATGCCTCTACAATTATTTATAGAATAATTGTAAGTAAAAAACAAACTCCTATCCAATTATAACTCTACAACAACTAAATATAAATTCAAAATACATTAATCTAGAGATAACCATAAATATTCAACTGAGATCAACTAAAAGATAGGTATTAAAACTATGATCCATATCCATCCCTTAATTCACATACTTATACTGCCTTTGCATGCAATTTGAATCCACTAAAAAATATATCCCCATTTTAATCCAAGCCTACCTCCACGTCACTGCCACATTTTTGCCAAATGTTGGTCCAAGTTACTACCTCATCACACCCCAAGCAATTTACCAAAATGTGTGTCAACATGCATATAATGAAATAAGTAGCAGTGTTTACCGTACTCCTCAATAATAATACGAGGGTGACAATTCATGCTCATGAGTCGTGTTTGTATCGTATCGATATAAGGGTATTATACTAAATATATAAATCCAAACCCAACCCATTTAATAATCATGTCAAGAATTCTTAATATTAACCCAACCCGTTTATTAATTAGGTAGACTTATTAACTCGTTTAATGACCTGTTTATCAAAACGAAATATTTAAATACTAAATATAAAAAAAAAAAAAATTGTCATAATTAACTCACATATTCAAAATAAAAAGAAAAATTATAAGGCATAAATAAGGCATATGTTGAAATGACTTAATTAACTACAGAAATTGGATTTAAACAGGTAACATATTATATAGGTCATATTTATAATTATAACATGTTGAGTTAAATGGGTCATAAACGGGTTACATAGATTGAATCCCTCAACCATAATTCGACACGATTAAATAAATCGATTAATCGTGTCAATCATTTTATGACTCAAATCCATTTATGCCAAACTTAAATCTTTTTAACTCGTATCGCGTCGTATCGTAATTTACCACAATACATCTTTTGTTAAACTAAGCTTTCACTTATCCGGACCGTCGAAAAGCTACTTTAAAGCCAATGCTGGAAACCATTTATTGGGCCTATTCTAACGGGTCATCGACAAATCATCCATGCATATATTGGAATGGTACGTAGCTTTTCGGGCAAAAGTGGATAATAATACAATGCAACTTTTTGATAAAGGAAGTCTACGATGCAAATTGCTTTAAATTGTTTAGCTTTTTACATAGCTTTCCGGGCAAAAGTGGATAATATTACAATGCAACTTTTTGATAAAGGAAGTCTACGATGCAAATTGCTCTAAATCGTTTAGCTTTTTACAATCTCAAATATACTTGCTAGCAAATTGCTTTAACCTTACCTTCCGAAAAAAATAAATAAATAAATAAATAAATGGTTTAACCTACTTCCCTTCAACATTGAGTTATTATTCTATGAGAAATTTTCGTATGATTTTAAATTTTATTCATATTTTACATTAATGTCATTTAATAGAGGGTTACTCCTTCCGTCTCACAAAAAAAAAAAAAAAAAAAAAAAATGTCCACCATTTTTTTTTTTTTTTTTTGTCCCAAAATAGATGTATTCTTTAAAAAGTCAAAGTATTATATTTTTGTAACATTACCAATTTAACATTCTTGCATTGAACTTAAGTAAACAATCACATCCATGTGAATCCACTATAAATATTTTGATAATTCATTCATTATTACTATAATTAAAAAATATTAAAACTTATCCTCTTAAAAAGTTAGATTCCTATATGTTAAAAAATAAATAAATAAAATAAAATAAATAAAAAATAAAAATTAACTAATATATGAACCGCTATTCAGAAAACAATTTTAAAATTTAAAATTTCAACTTTAATCAAAGCCTCTATTGAGCTCAAATCTCTATCATTAAAATAATGTTTTTTCTTTTAGCAAGTAAATTTGAGATTGTAAAAAGCTAAACAATTTGAAGCAATTTGCTATCATAGACTTCCTTTATCAAAGCCAAATCCTCCGAATCTATATGTTGGTCCGGTGACCGTAAGTTGATCGCAATACTGATTGACAAGAGTTTTTGCATAAGAGGTTTCAAGAAATGCAGCTGAGATACTACCATTCTTGAGAGCGCCCAGATAGTGAGATTGGGTGGCGACAAAATTAACTACATTGTTCTTGCAAACAACCTAAAACAAAATATAAAAAATTTATAAAAAAAGTCATAATTTTTCACTTTTAAAGATCAATAAGTTTTATTAATTTTTCAAATGTTTTCATGGCTTCAATTCTGAATATCTTAAATTGTCAATTTTGTCCTTTGTAATTTCTGATAATAACTTTTTTACTTTTATTTTCTTTTAGTTCATTAATAGTTTCAATACTTAAATGTATCTTTTATATATTTGCAAGCTTTAACTAATTAAGGAATATTACATTTTAAAATTAAAATTAAAATTTATTAATTGTAAATTCAATTAAAAGATCTTAATTGTGTATAATCCACATTGAAATTGACACAAAATTATTTTTAAAAATAGTAAAATTTCTGTAATTTTGAAAATTAGATTATTTATGTAGCAATTAAAGTCTATAAAATAACAAAAATTCCATTTTCTATTATTTTTTTAAAACAAATTTAAATTTAGAAGAAATTTTTTTTGGATTGCATATAGAAATTGTATTTGCAGAATTTTATTAAAATTAATTTAGTATGGATATAACTATAGAAATTGAATTCTTTTGAGAAAGCAAGACTTTAATATGTTACTTTAAAAAGTATAACATGTTGGTAGCTAAAGAGATGATGACTTTTCTCCAAAAAAAAAAAAAAAAGAAAAAAAAAAGAGGGGGGGGGGGGGGGGGGGTGGGGGTGTTGGGGTTTGGAGATGGGTTTATTACCTTGTTAGCGACAAAATTTACTCTATCATCGTAGTTGCAATCGACCTCCACAAACTTGTGGTGCAGATAAAAAGTGGTACCCAAGCTGTACTGACCAGTTTGAAACACTAAGGCATCTTTTGTGTTATAATTACATTGTATATGCATTTCTCTCCATCCAAATATGATATAAACAAAAGACAAAGTAACCTATAAGCAAAAAGTTGATTTGACGATAATGACACAAAAACTTATATATCTTTTATGATGATCCGAAATAATATAATAAGATAAAGTAACCTATAAACAAAAAGTTGATTTGACAATAATGACACAAAAACTAATATATCCTTTCATGATTATTCCAGAATCATATAATAGGATAAAGTAACCTATAAACAAAAAATTGATTTGACAATAATGACACAAAAACTTATATATCCCTCTTCATGATTATTCCGGAATCGTATAATATCTTTTTGTTTATTTGTGTGAGAGGAACTTTACTTGATTTTCTTTAACTAAAAAAAAAAAAAAGAAACTTTACTTGATTTTGACCTCCAATTTGACCAAGAAAATGAAAGATTACTTTTGCAAACATGGTGCTCCCCGCAAAATTGCCAATAATAATAACACAATGCATCTTATGATAAAGTCAATCTTTTGAACCTAATAGCATTAGTCACGGTTCGTTTAATCCGTATAGATATTGTTTACTTTACACACTTTATTTTTAGTAATTACAATTTACTCAAAATATATATACATAGTTAAAGAGTGCTTACACGTATAAATGACAAAAACTTTTTCCCTTAGATTTCCAAAAAAAAAAAAAAGTATAATTTTCTTATTAAAAGTATAATTTTCTTATTCTTATTAAAGTTTTTGTCATTTATATATATATTCTTAAAACTGAACCAGCTACTATTCTCAAACCATATAAATGGAGACAAAATTCCAAAAGTGACA